GCTGTGGTATATTTTATGTGGTCTTTTCTTACTTTTTGGTTTGGAAGGAGGGCCTTTTGTAAATGTGTGTGCTAACGTTGAAGTGTGTTAGTTGTACTAGTAGAAATGTACGTCTGTGTGAGCATGCAAATGATATTCTAATGTTCATGATTCTGGTAAATGAGAGACAGATAGTACTGCTCTTAATTGTGTTTGTCAAGTTGAATTTGAAGTGTTATTGAGGGGTAGCTGGTGAATGCTTTGGTGTGGTTTGCTCCTTCTTTCCTATCAAACATTTGTCGTTCTTATCTCTCCTTCTTTTTGTGTTTGTTACTCTCTTGAAACATCTCTAAGCTTCGGCAGCACTTATGCGACCTAATTATGTTGCACGTGCTGCAAAACTCTTACAAAAAAAACTCGAAGTGTGAGTGAGTGTCCAGTGGACGTTTTGCTGTCTTGTAACCCCCCACCCCCCACCCCCTCTTCCTCCTGTCTGAAGGGCCGTCTGAGAAGGAAGTGGTATGTAAGGCCCATCACACAACAACACTGAATGATGATGGTGACTTCATTCACGTTCACAACAAGGTGCGTACGGGGAAGTTTGCCAGTATGTATATGCTTGAAGAATTTACCAGATAAGGTTTTTTTAGAGTGTTGGCCCATAGCACTCAGCTTAGATTTTTTAAAAATGAAACTATTTGCTACTAGTAGGATCTCAGATTCTGAAGGAGGATTACGGGAGGAGCGAACCTCAAGGTGCAATTTCTATGTTTATTGCCCGAGATCATATCTAAGGACACGTATAAGTTAGGCATAGAAAAATCTCTTGATAAGTACTTTTGTTTTTGCATAGCTGCAGCCGTTGCTATGGAAACAGCCGCCATCTTGAAAATAGACAATGAATTTCAAATCCCCAAGACTTTCTTATTTACTGACCAATTTTGACCAAATTTGGTGAGAGTATACCTGAACCAGTCCCTATCAACATCACAGCAAGTTTATTTTTTCAATAAGTGTAAAAAAAATAAAAGATTAGAGAATCTTCCCAATGTATAAACCTTTTAAAAAATGTGGTTGCATAATCACTTGCCAATGGAAAAGTGTTTTTTTGGGGGGGGCAAATATCTCTCTGTTACATTGATGGCCTCTTTGCCATCTGTGTTTCCTGAAAGTTTCATGTCAAAAGACGAAAACTAAGGAAGGAGTAGGAAAAAAACTGCAAAAAAAAAAAAAGACATTTTGAGAAAAACGACAATTATTGTGAAAATTCACTAAATTTTCACTCACCCTCGTGTTTTCAAAGGCAATTTACAATAAGAATAAAGTTTTTCTCAATTTTGTCCTTGCTATTTTTCGACAAAGAACTGGTTGATCTTCTAGTATCAGCCAACATCTCCGTTTGCATTGCTTGATCCAAAATTGTCCAAACTGAGGGTCGCTCCTCCCGTTAAGAAGGGCAGTACAGAAAGTTTTTAGATTTGAGTATCTCACCAGGGCGGGATTTCAAGTGGTGTATTGTTACGTTTTCTGAATAGACTGCAATGCTGCTCCTTTCCTGGGATAATAAGATTGTAAATCAGAATGAACTGGCAGACAGAGAGTTATCGTGAAGTGATGGAGCATTTTATTGGAAGGATACTTGAAGAATCGCTTTAACATAATAACCGAGTATCAATAATTTTTTAAATAAAAAAGAATAATAACTTCTAAACTAAAATCTTTGGCTAACAACTGGAGGATTTCTGTAGACTTGTTTGTAACCACCTTGATATATTGATAAAATCTGTTGAGCCTGTGTGTGGTGATGTCTCACATATTGAATGAACCAAGTCCTTGGATCTTTATTTTTTTGAATCACATTGACTGTTTGTTATAGACATTTATGTTGTCCTCAGGGCTCGGAGGCTTGTCATTTTGTGCTTATATCAGGACAACCCATCAAAGAGCCAGTTGTGCAGCATGGTAAGTACTTCTCAATAATATTTTGGGTCCTGTAGTTGCAGTTGAGAACTTGAGAAGAAATCTCCTTCTCCCCTTCATCATGTCAGAGTCAGTGCTATCAGTGTGGTAAAGGTTGGATTTCAGCGTAAAGTTTGAGGTACACAAATATCCTCCTCCCTTTCATGTCAAAGTCAACCCGAATAGTTTGGCATAGATAAGATCTCAGCATAAAGTTTGAGGTACTCAATAAAGTATTCTTCCTTATGCTGGATGGAAACATTATGTTTTATTTGCCTGCAATGCGAAAAGCCTAACCATTAGACCTCAGACACTGACTGAGTATAAACATGGTCTTGTTAATGTAACAGTCAGACACAAACAACTCAGATGCGTCGGGGATTGACAAATGTGTTTGACATATCCATAATTCGGGTCAACTGATTTTATAACGAACAATTTTTAATGAGATATCAATTGGGTAATGGCAAATTGTACGAACTATTCATGATTTTGAGTTTTCAGTGTTATCTGTGCCCGACTGTATGTTGTTATGTATGAAGAAAATGTCACGAGATGCATGTCTCTTGTTTATAAGGTAGTCAATTAGCTCCGTCGGCATTATGTTGGTCTGCGGAGTAGGTAACTTTGATCAAATGTGGATTGTTTTAGGGATTTCATGCAGGTAGTTTGCGGGTGCTCTGGTGTGGTTTGCTCCTTCTTTCCTATCAAATATCTGTTGTCCCAATCTCTCCTCCTTCTTTTTCGTGTTTGTTACTCTCTTGTAGCACCTCTAATCTTCGGCACTTATATGACCTTATTGTGTTGCAAGTTCTGTAAAACTCTTACTAAAAGTAAAACTAAGGGATTTCATGGTTCTCCATCCACAGTGTGGATCATTTCAGAAATGGACAGTGAAATTGGAGGTTTTCATTCTTCTTTTAAATAACCCAGCTGCACTGAAAGAGATGTTGCACTGTTATAATAATAATTCAGTGCTTACTATTTTACCCTTTCTTTTTTGTGAAGTTCGAACTTGATTATTCAGAGCACTGTTAGTCTTTTGTAGAAACTGCATCAATTGTTAGAAGAATAGGGAAATCTTTAGGTGCGTGTGTGTGTGTGTGTGTGTGTGTGTGTGTGTGTGTGTGTGTGTGTATATGTGTGTGTGTGTGTGTGTGTGTGTGTGTGGGCGCCTGTGTGTGTTTGTGCGTGCATATGTATGAGCATGTGTGCATGAGTGCCCGTGCAAATCAGCATGAGATTGAAAGAAAAAGAGTGCATGAGCATACACACCAAGTCTTCATATAAATAAACAAGCTCACTTTCCTGTGTTTTTACATTTTTCAGGTCCGTTTGTCATGACAACCGAGCAGGAGATAAAGGAAGCAATTTCCGACTACCGGAACGGGGAAAATGGCTTTGAGAAAGCCATGACCTGGAATTCAGATTACGCGTGATGAATGCAAAGATGAGAGAACACCAGAAATCTTTTATTGCATGCATTTACCAGAAGCCTAATATAGACAATAAAACTTGCTGTAATTTCAGGGTGATGGGGCACATATGTTTTTTCCCAAAATCTGACTGTGTTGTCTAAATACCTCTGTCAGATGTGGTAGGAGAGACTTGGAGATATCTGAAATATTGAAAACAGAAAAATAGCATATTTTAATGGAAGATATTGAAGTTCAAACATTTTTGCTCAAACCGCTATCAATTTATTTTGTTTTTATTTATCCTCATAAGTGATATTTTACACTGAATTTCTTTACAAAATATGTCTACTGTTTCAAAAATTATGCAATGTATGTGAGAAAAGTTTGGAGACAAAACCCCCTCAACATCAAAACATTTGAAGGATTAAATCTTCCCAAGACTTGTGAAAAGGGCTTGCTGATCTCAATGTATATAGCATGATGAAATTTGAGTTTGGAATATCCACTGGGGAAGGTGTTGGGAAGGGGGGGGGGGAGAATACTGTTTGCAGAGATCTCATAAATTTCTTTTTATTTTTATTCATGTGAACTGATCTTGACTGATGTGGAAAACTGAAGGAATCCGATCAAATCAAAACGTGAATAGGCCCACAGCTGGTTTTTCCAGTACTCGTGGCTGATGTGAGTTTTTTTTAAAAGATAATTATTTTACGGCCCCATCGACACAGTTTTCACAAAGCTAAGGGGCGAGCTGCTTTAACTCCTTATCTCCGGCAAGCTGCTCCCAACGATTCCTGGTTGAAACTACTGTGCCGGTGAACCGCTGGCAGCGGCTCTGATACATTCCTTTACTGCAGCTTCGGCGTCGAATTACTTTTTGTCAATTGCTGAAAAGAGGTCTATTTTAGTGGGAGTTCATTCATTAGAGGAAGAGCTATCAAATTCAAAACAGGTTCACTTGATCAATTTAGTGACACATAAATGTCACTTTTAGATTTTGTACCAAAAGAAAACCCTGGCATAGTGGGTTTTCCCACCTTGGAGATAAAGAGTTAACTTGGTGTCATTGCCAACTCTGGCTAGATGAGATATGTGAGGCAGCATGGTGGAATCAGGCTCTAGTCAAAATAATCAAAGTGAAGAAAGTTGCATTTTTCCGCAGGTTTGTGAATTTTTATCAAAATTTATTTTTTTGGGCTCAACACATTTCATGCCCATTAAAGAACTCATTTCTGTGTGGATTTTTCTTAAAAACGTTGTTTAAAGGCACAAAATATGTAAATTTTCAGTTACCACGGACTCTTAAGCTAAGGAAATAACTAATCTTTGGCGGCCATTTTCTCACTAATTTTACCTCTGAAAACAGGTGACCCCCACCTCCTTCATTCTCAAATATCTCGACTTGTAGGCCTATTTAAGATAAACTAATATTTTTTTCATCCAAATAAAGACAAGTGAACAGGCTTTAAGATGATACCATGTGCCCAAAAATTGACGAAAGCCTGATTCCACCACGCTGCCTCACATATGCTCTAACAGAAGGATAGAAATCCTTACTAGATAAAATATTGTCTTCGTATGGGAATCAAACCCATGCTCCCAGTGATTGAGGCAAAGGCCTGAACTATAACGCTACAGATGCCAGTTGTTTGCTGTGACATTTTCTTTACTTAAAAAGTTGTAGAAATTATTTTTGCCTTCACCAGCGTTCCAGTATGCTGTGCTAATGTTTGTTGAATTTTTCTTCACATTAAGTGTCATTTGCATTCTGCTACTGTATCACTAAATATTGTCTATTTGGTATGCAACTTCTTACGAACAGACTTTTGAAAAATATATATTCTGACTTCAGATATTTATTGATCTAGTTTTATATCCTGTAATTTTGTAATAATGTACTCTGTTGGAACAAAACCCATTTTGGTAATTTATACTTATTTTAAAAATCTACTCTGTTCACCATACGTGTATCCTTGGTGTTGATTATACACTTTTTATTTGATTATTCACTGAATGTAGTTTGTTGACAGGGTTACTTTGGCGTGGTACGTTCAAACGTTGTGCTTATTTTATTGTGACTCTTTTTGCTGTTTGCCGTAAGCAGCGAGAATTTGTTCGGGTTGTACCTTTGCTGCGTTCATATTTGTTTTGCTCTTAGTTTGGATATCTTTTGACAAAAATATATGGTGATATCATCTGAAGTATTTCTGACTTCTGGTGTCTATGGTATCTGTGATGGGTTGTTTGTGTGACTTGTACTGTTTGATATGTTCATGACACTACGATCTCTGATTTGGTGATACTTTAAACCCCCCCTCCACAAACACACACTCATGCTCTCTCACACACACACACACACACACACACACACACACACACACACACACACACACACACACACACATGCATGCATACACATGCTTGTGCACACACACACACACACACACACACACACACACACACACACACACACACACACACACACACACACACACACACACACACACACACATCCCCATGAGTGATTGGCAGGTGCTTTGCTTCGGTTAAGTGTTCTCCTTCTTTCTTATCAAGCTTCCGTCATCCTTATCTCTCCTCCTTTTATTTGAAAGCTACTCTTTACTATCACTCCTTTAATCTTTGACCCTTATATCACCTATTTGTGTTGCAAGTGCTGTAAAACTCTTACCGGAACTAAAAAAACGACTAATGTGTTGGATCAGAATCAGAGCTTAATCGTTTTTCAGGGGATATCAGTTGTTTTCAAATCCCTTTAGCTGCGAGCATTTCGCTCTTGGCAGCGCACATACACACACACACACACATGCACACTCACACACACATGCACACTCACACACACACACACACACACACACACACACACACACACACACACACACACACACACACACACACACAAACACACACACACACATCCCCATGAGTGATTGGCAGTTAAAACAATAAAGGTATTACATTATGTACTGTATTTAGTGTGTCCAACACTTTTCATTGCGTGGCAGAAATGATTTTCTGCAATGTAAGTACTAAACCAGGCTTCAGCTATAACCAAAATGGTTTTAAAATGTGATATTCCCTTTATTATAGTTAGTTTTATTCAACACTGACAATCTTGTACTAGAGTCTAAAAGCTCTATTAATAATCCGGCGTGCAGCATATGGACTTGACGTTATGCAAAGCTGGAGTTTGTGGTTTGAACCTGATTTGGGTCAGAATCATTTTTATATTTACTGCACTGTATTTTCATTCTTGGAATACATGTCTTGTGTTTCCTCTCATTATTTGAAGAGTCAACTTGGGATGACTTGATGTTGGCGGGAAGTGAAAAATTAAAAAAAATTAAAATTAAAAAACAACAAAATAAAAACAATGTTAAACATTTTCAGTTGGTAGGAAAATTTGAATTTTGCCCAGGTGGCGGCTGAATGTTACTCTTATTGATTATGAACCACCAAGAGATCGCAACTTGCACACGGGATCTCCGAGTTTTTTCGCGAAGTCCGAGAAGTGAAAAAAAAAAATCAATCATTCAAAGTTCAATATAACCGTTGTGATCTGTAAAGGAGAAGAAGTGCTGGGACCTGAGAAAAATATCAACTTCAATCAATGAAAATCGACCCAAGCGGGTTCATCAACCCAAGTGTTTTGATAAAAATTCACAAACCTGCGGAAAAATGACTGCTATCAACACTCGACGTGATATATCTACACCAATCACCAAAGGTCTCAAACTCGCGGGTCAATAGTCTTGCAGGAAGACATTTTGTGTTCCCTATTTGACATCAAAGTTAAGGGTTAGTGCCATCAACGCTTAGTCACTTTTTTGAGAGAATTGCACCTCCTCCCCCCTTACACACATACACTCTCAGCCTTCCTAGATATTTAAGCGGACGGTATGCCTTTTTGGAAGTACAACCGACTACGGAGGAGTTAATGTCGTCGAGGGAGGGAAAAAAGATCAATTTATCAGTAGTTCTACTTAGCCGTTGGGATCTGTAACACACGGTATCTGTCGTGGTCTTGATGTTAAGGTGTTCGATTCTCATTCAATAGGTCCCGGGTTCGAATCCAGATAGCGACAACCCCAACCCTGGTTTGGGTTTGGGAGGGGGGGGGGGTGATTTCTTCTCTAGATTTTTCTTCTTTCTCATCCCTTCCTGCTTTGTAACATTGTGGTGGCAGTTAAGTGATGATGATGATGGTGGTGGTGGTGGTGGTGGTGGTGGTGGTGGTGGTGGTGGTGGTGCTGCTGCTGCTGCTGCTGCTGCTGCTGCTGCTGCTGAGATGGTGTATCCCACACAGCTAGGATCGTCACTGACACGTGACAGACAGGATCGAAGCAGTCCGCCTCCTTAATCATCTAGAATTGAGTCAATGGGACACACAGAAACGAAAAGACAGATTACTTACAGCCCCCCCGCCCTCCCCAAATCCGCCATCCACACTTTAGAAGTTCAAGCGTTCAGGCGTTCACAAACTCTCAGATGTCATATATCCGATTCTATAATTTTCTATAAATATCCGCGCTTCTTGTTCAGTTTGCCGCTATTGAGGACAGTTATAAGTATGTCAAGGTAATGATATGTGCAGGCGGTGGGAAATCTTTTTCACGTAACGTTGGTGTGTAATGTGTGGCACACACACACACACACACACACACACACAAGCATACCGCTGCTATTGGGAAACCCGTGTGTTGTTTTCAAATGCTAGATTTAGGTTTCATAACGAGGCATTAGGAAACCCTGTTTGCAAGATTCAGATCTAGAATCTAGATTTAGTTCTACATGTAGATCAAGTTCGACATAGCAAGGAATGTAACAGCGTGTTGCAGCATACAGGGGAGCACCCAAAACAAGGTATGGTCAGAGAGTTTACAGTAATATTAGCCTACTGTAAACCCTCTCTGGTATGGTTGAGTTGTTTTTTAAAGCGAAAGTTTGCCTTCGTCTGTTCTTATATTACCTTGACTTCAATTGTTGGTTCTGAAAAAAAAGAAGACCCCCCCCCCCCCCTGGGTGGTTGGAGGGCACCACTGGACTGGTAGGTCCTACTTCTTTACTGTACCTCTGTTATTCTGTTTGTCTGTGTGGGTGGTTGGAGGACCGACCGGTAGGTCCTAATTCTTTACTTTCCCTCTGTTGTTTCTGTTTGTCTGTTTTACTTTTCCCCTACACCAATATATGACCATTTTTGTGTCGACGTGCCTCATGTAACTCAAACAAACAAACAAACCAACAAACACATTTCTGCAGTGTATGCCAAAGTTTTGGAACAGGAAAGGCTCACTGTCTCATCTTGATACATAAAACAGGATAGATTTCTAATATGTTTTGCTGCTAGATCTAGGTCTGTTGCACGATTCTAATTCTTTGCAAGCATAGTTCACAGTAAACGTGTCTTCTACTTCTTCATGCTGATCTTTGGCCTCGTTTTAAATCAGGCTCTACATGCATTTTTAGTAACAGAGAAAATCTACTGGATGGAACATGTTGCATTCGGATGGCTTGAGGTTTGAGGCAGAACAGTTCAGGCGAAGATCTCATCTGGGATTCTGGGGTATGAGGATATAATTGATTTGCCATGTGATGACTGTAGGTTTACCTCTCAGCTGTAACGACCCAAGCAGGAGCGGCTTGTGAGTCTTAAAAGTGGGCGTGCACAATTAGCTTATAGCAATGCTTATATCAGGCTGGTAAATGAGATGAATTCTTCAACCTACCGGTTTAGAGACATCTATTTGAAGAAGAAATCTACACTTCGTTCTTTTGTTGCAGCAGTGGTGTCCATCATTCTGTTGACGCAGTTGGGCATGCTGTCATTGATGTCCATGTAGATCGACAAATACGTTGGTGCGATTTCTAAGATTTTGCATACTACTCTAAATGTTGTGTCGAGTTTGTAGCCCTTCAGAGCTGAATAAAGGCCCTGGATTGTACGACTCCGAGCAGACTTAAATGTTTTATTACTATAATTTTATATTTCTATTTCTGTTTGTAACTTCGTTTTATGCAAGACAGAGTAGCTTTCTGCTATACAATCCAAAAGAACTGTAGAAAACGACTTTTGATAGTACTGGAATTTGATTGACAGTGTATTGATTTTATTTTGCTCAAGAAAGGATCAACAATTTTATTAACTATTGTGTCACAGGCCTCCTTTGCAGCAATTTCATTGGTGTTATGATGTCTGCGTTTTATGGAAGCTTGTACCTCAATGGTCTTACTTGTTGATGGAACATTTATACTGTTTTAAATGTCTTCAAAGGTTGCTTTAGAAACGTTTCTAAAGCTTGTTGGGCTGCTATTGACGTTGTACTTCTGTGTTGGAGGATCCCATAATCATACCCAACGTCAACGTGCATGAACACTTTGAACAAGTGCAAAAAGAAGAGAAATGATGTATCGCTCTTTTATACATTCAAACGGCCACACGCTTCGTCGTATTATCGTCCAAGTGCTCAGACTGAATTTCTTCAAGACAAAGCTGGATCTCTCCTTTCTAAGTGAAGACTGTGCTAATAAGTCGAGACTGAAAAATCCTCCTGGTGCGCATAGCAATGGACAAAGACAAAAAGGGAAAATTGGCGAAACTGAGTCTGTACACCAGAGACTCTCGCGCTCAATGCAGCTGCCCCATCGTAGGTTTGGGTGATCAGCTTTTCCTCGACGCTGAATGGTTCTAAAGCGTCGTTTAGGGTTGAAACAAGCCATGATGACACTCTATCATTGGCTTTAAAAATACCATAGAAACCGGTCTACCTGTTTTCCGTCCTTAACATACATTGTATCGCAGAATGATAACAAAGTACGACAAATGACCTGCATCAGTTGCTTCGTCAGCCTGGACAGAAAGGAAGTTGGCAGAGCGTATGTCTTTATTCAGTTCTTCGTGGTATATTTTGAAAATACAGTCCAGCTGTTCGTTTTGTATGTTTTGTTTTGGAAGTATATTTTGCAACAATAGCGCTTTTCAGATGATCAAACAGTATCGTGTCAGTGTTAGCGTCTCTGTGCAGTAAATCAAGAAAGATACCACGAGAAATCACCTTTTTCATGACCGCGGAGGCCGAGTTCGCAATGAGATGACCAACGTCTAGCTGCGCTGCTGTCTACTAGTCCGATAGTCTGATACCTAACGGCATTGTTGACATGCGCTCTTGATGACTCATGTATTTAATGCTTTTGTTTCACATGGACAAGATCAGTAAAACCTTTCTTAGACCACTTGGCGTCCTCAGTTCCGAAAACCAGACAGAAGAAACAGTAGAATGAGTGTTTGTCGAGAAGATCACTATTAAAAACACCATTGCACCTTTTTGTTGGTTATATTATTTTAGTATTTTTGGGTTGGCGACGACCTAATTCTTTCACTCTGTCTTTGTCACTGTGGTTTAGAGAACTGAATTTATTTGCAAGAAAAAAAATCCAGCATTGGAATTACACACTCAAGTAATAACACTCACCACTACACCATTCCAAGTAAGGCTATTCTAACTCAGTGACCCAAATACGTCATGTTGACCTCGCTCAAGTTCAGGGTTACAGAGGTGGGGCTAGCGATATATAAATGGCACGGTAATGGATCTATCGCACTTCACTGTGAGCACTCCTGTGGATTGCTCCAAAGCTATCATAATGCGGGCATAGAATTGTGTAAGGTATCGCGAACTGGTCTGAGACCGCGTATTTTAAAAACTGCTTCTATGGGCTTTGTTCGGCTGGTGCACATTGAGATTGTGCCGCCTTATAAATATTTATGAGTGTTGTGAGCATTAACATTTTATGGCGGCAGTGCACGCCGTGCTCTATGGATGAGCCGCCCCTGATTACTCAAGCTATCCGAACGTAGCACGAGTGATTGTCTCAGCGGTAGGAATACCTGCAGGGCCTGTAATGTACATATAATGTTAAAGTAAGGGCACAGCAATTTAGAAAATGAAAAGA